TTTTTTTGTGATTTTCTTTTTCCAAGATAAGGTCTTGCAAACTATTTGCCCAGGATGGCTTCAAACCCATGATCCTCCTTATCTCTGCCTCCTGAGTAGCTAGGATTATAGGCATGAGCCACTGGTGCCTGACCATCCACTGGTTTTGCTTCTTACCTAACATACAGAGATAGAATCTAAAATGGAATAAGGAAACTAGAACTCAAAGGTCAAAAAATTCTTCAGTGGCAGAGTCAGGACTTGAATCAAGGTCCTCAAAGTCACAGTTTATAGTGTACACTATCGCATCAAATTGCATCCTTATTTCTTCTTTGAAGATGCAAGCAACTTTATTCGTCTCTGTACTTTGGAGGTAATTTAAGATGGGTGGAAAAAAATTACATAGTGAGCTGAATATTAAAGCAAAAAGAGATCTTCACAGTGACGTATTTCAAGCTCCCTGCCTTTCTCTCTCCAGCACTTTTTTCTAACAGCTCGACCAGACATTGACGAAGTCTTTGAAAAGTTCTGGGCCTGGTGTGATAGACACTGGTAGTCACTTATTAAATAAGCTTTGTCCCTAGACATTCCTTGGTGGCAGAGCCTACGTTATTTCTTGGAGCCTGAAAATGCTCCATATTTGCTTTCCCGTCTTTGGCTAGTGCAAGATGGAGCAGTTGAATTCAAAGGCAGTGGTACACAAAAAGAATTCTTCAGGAGGACAGAGAATCTGAAAAAAACAGAGGGGGGTAAGCGAGGGAGAGAGGAAATTGTCATCTTTCTTGCCTTCGGACCTCGAGTGAGGATGTGGTTCTTAGACCCTCTGGCAGGTTTCTTAAAGCCATTATGAATAACACCTTCAACACCATGAAGACAATGACTGTAAAGGTGGAAAGACGTTAAATTCTTGGTAAGATTATTGATCCACAGAAACACTCTAGAACCGCCACTCTCCAGTCATTCCGTTAAGTGAGACAATAAATGTCTCCACACTGTAAGTCACTCTATAATTTGAGTTTTTTGCCCTTTGTCCTTAAGTACCCTAAGTATTTTGCACTAGTAGTCAAGTGTGCAGACAGCCTGTGGTCAAATTTCAGTACTCATGATTTAGGTGACCATAATCTTTCTGACCTTCATCTCTACTTAGTTTGTAGGTTACTATGATGATTCAAATTGTTCCTACAACTAGGGCCTGGTACATGTAAGCACTTAATAAATGTCAACCATAATACTGCTGTTCAGAGCATGCTAGCACCAGATGTGGGGACACACACCTATGTCCCAGCTACTCAGAAGGCTGACACAGAGAATTACAAATTCAAGGCCTGCCTGAGCTACACAGGGAATGTAAATTCAGCCCAAGCAACTTAGCAAGACCCTTTCTCAAAGTGTAATAATTTTTTTAAAGGGGTTAGGTGTGTAGCTTGGCATGTACAAGGTTCAATCCCCATTATTGCAAAATGTAAAATAAAACAAAAACATATACTCACTGATACACAGTGAATTCACATGAACAACCAACTGCTGTAATTGGTGTTTTCTTATATAATCTGACTTCCACCCGTCTGTTCTGAACTCTAGTCATAAGAATATTTTCTCCTTTAAATTTTCTAGCATAGCTGTCATGTACCCCTTCTGCAGCAAAAAAAACCCCAAACTTTTCTTCATATCGTATTTTTATTTATTGTTCCTCTCTGTCAGCTCTCAGGGTCTCTTTTGAAGCCTGGTCTTTATAATTTCTGATGGAAAAATATTAATTCAGCATGCATTACATGCCAGGCACGGGTCCTCATAACCCAGTTACAGCCTGATTAACTCAGAAGTGGAGTCTCCTCTCCTGCTTAGATTATGAACATTAATTAGTCTAGCCAAAGGACAGCAAATAGCTGGTTATCCTTTCTATTTCCCTTTTCCAGACTTTATTTTCTCCCAAGGGGCTCAGAAATCTCAAGGCACTACTCCAGAAACCTACTATGATTAAAACTAAATTGAATTTCTCACTCCTATAGAGAGGAAGATTGTGTTATCTTTATATTCAAATTTTGACACTTAAAATATTTGAATCTTAGGCCATGCGTGGTAGCACACATCTCTAATCCCAGCTACTCAGGAGGCATAGGAGGAGGACAGCAGTCCAAGACCAGTCCCGGTAGCTGGCAAGTAAGGGAAGTCTTTTCCTTGAGATCCTATCCAAAACAAACCAAAGTAAGAAGTGTTCAAGAGATAGAGCAATTGCCTAGCAGGTAGGAAGCTCTGAGTTCAGACCTCAGTACTGCAAAAAAAATTTTTTTAAATCTTTTTCTCACCTACTGCTCACAAAGCCAGCATTATGCCTTATTAATACATGTTTAACCGGTTTTTCTGATCTTTAATTTCAAATAGTTATGATCGAAATATGATGTTTTCACTTGATATTTTTCCGTATTACATGTTTTGAAACCATAGAATCAAGAAAAAAGCTAATAGATCAACTCACTATAATTGAAATACAAAGCTTTATACAAATCACTATCAAAGTTTTAATAGCTTTATTGAGACACATTGACTCATTTATTTGGCCTTTCTTTTCCTTTCTTTTTCTTTCTTGGTATTTTGGTATATTCACAGAGTTAGACACCATTACCAAGCCCCTATTCAATTTCATTGTTTCATTTTAAGTCGTTTTTCTAACTCTCATGTTTCTGACATTTGGATAGCGTGCTCTCACTTGCATGTGCAGTCTCCATTTCTCTGCTGTAATAAAATAGCACAGGGCAGAGGTAAAACCATTGTTGGGTGGCTACCAGTTAAGGCATTTCCATTCAGTAAAATTTTGGGGTTTTTTTAAGGGAGAATCAATTAAATAAGCTATAAATCCACATCAACTGTAATGCCAGCTAACACTATCCCCCACAGCATGAGGAATTCAAAAACAGTCTTCTGTCTGTCCATTCATTTAGTAACCCCTAAGTGCCAGCTGGCAGAACTTGTTCTAAATGTACCTATCCTGCTTTTTCTAAGTTACAAATTTTGAGTCCTGGAATTTGGCTAATGACTAACATAAAATCTTCTGGCATGCATGTGCATTGTAGTTCTTCTCACACTCCATTATTTTTTTCTTTTCTTAGATCAGGATAAGGTTTGTGTTCCACTCTCAGACATCTCCTTGTGAGCAGGAAGTTAATTCATTGCTTGCATGCTTCCTGGCACACAGTAGGCACTCTGTGATATATAGACAGATAGATAGATATATAGATTTGTTGAGTGAATGAAAGAAAACCTCCCACAAAGATTTCTAATCGTGACCGCCTAGCTGCTCTTAGTAATTATGGCAATGACTGTCAACTGTTAACTTCTAACTATCCCTCAGTCCTTCACTTAAACACCACTTCCTTTAAGAAGCCTTCTTGATTCCCCCACCAAGTTAGGCACTCCAGATCTCTGCTCCTTTTCACAAGGCTCTTATTACTGATAAAAGCTGCACAAGGGAAGGTTCCATATTTATTCACCTTGTTCACATTTGTATCCCCAATTCCAAGCTCAGCATCCAGCATACGTAGATGCTTAACAGATAAATGGACGAGTGAAATAAATTGGGAATGTAATTTGTCTATGCCTAAACTCAAGAGCTCATTCAATGTAACCAGGTGTTCTTGTATTCACCTGTCTTGTGTCTTCTTCTTTAACAACTTTATTGAGATATAATTTACATATCATAAAATTTGTCCATTAAGTTCTTATTGTTTTCTTCCCTCCCATTTTGCATGTGAAGGTCATTTTTCTGATGGTAAAAAATGGAAAGAAAATAGAAGTAGACTGTTGGGAAATCCTGGATGGAAAATGGGCTCTTTACATCACAATTTACCATGGTTTACTTCCCAGCTTTACTTTTCAACTATGACCTTATGCAAATTAACTTCTCTAAGCCTTGGATTCTCTTTTGCAAAACTGCACTAATGAGAGTGTCTTTAGTGAGTTCTCTAAGGATTAAATGAGATGACACATGTAAAGGATCCACTGAAGAGGTAACAATTCAAAAATGTAAATTCCCTTCTTTCTCTCCATCATCAGTTACCCTTGAAATTCTTAACCTGGAACCTCCTGAACAGCAGGTCTGTCCTTCCACCATCATCATTTTGTTTTGAGAATTTAAAAAAATACCCAAACTTCTTGTTTCCCTAGCCTCCTTAGTATTTCTGCAAGCTACACTTCATTCTGTGCGGTAGCTTTTTTGGCATAATTCTTACTGATTTGGTTTCTCTTTTTATTTTTCTTTCCATCTTTTGAAGAGAAAGGAAAAACATCTCACCCGAGATTATTAGAGAAAAGAGGTTTCTTTAGTTGCCATTTTCCTTTGGAGCACTATGAACCCAGAATTTTATTATTCAAAGCCTCTGTTCTTTGAAAAAATGCCTTTCGTTTGAGCCTCTGGTCTCAAAATCACACCTGACTTTTCCTTGGATCTGCTTCCTTAAGTCTCAGGCCGCCTTCCTTCTCTGTATCTTGTATTACAGTCTCTTCCCCAGGACCAACCAATTCTTCCCTCGCAGTCACATTACATCAGCATTACTAATGAAATATACGTTATACACCAGGTTTTTATTTTAGACAGTCCATTAAAAACGAACCTCGATACTGGCTTGAGTTAATATGGAGGATGACTAGTCCAAATGCAAACTGCGAGCTTTGGGGGAAATACAGATTTATATTCATGTTAAATATATACCTGTTGAATTTGGCTTTCTCAAATGCTTCACAAGACCCCGAGCTTTTGAGTGACTGTAATGGTAGACAATGGGTTTCCAGAAATTTCGCTAAAATTGAAACACTGTATCCAAAGGACTACTCCAAACGCCCGTCACAAAATCCATCTCCACAACCACCACATTATCTCACCCGGGAGTGAGAATGCAAGGGTCCAGGGCCCGGCTGTACCACTCCGCACCGCGCACGGGGGGATTCGTGCCCTTTTGCAGGCGTCTGGCCGGTTCCCCGCGGCTTGGTTTGGCCCCCGCTCCCCCTGCGCAGGCACCCACAGTGCGTCAGGCCGGCGCTTTATAGTGCGAGCCTGGGCGGCTCCGCTCGCTGTTTTTCCTCTGCTCTGGGTCGAGTCTTCTCCTGCTTAGCGAAGATGCAGCTCAAGCCGATGGAGATAAACCCCGAGGTGAGTGCCAGGTGCCCCGCGGCCCGGGCAGCGCAGGGCTAACGGTCAGCCTTGGCTAGGTATCCTAATTTTTTTTTTCTTTGCATTTGCCTTTCAGATGCTGAACAAAGTGAGTGTCGTCTCTCGTTTTCTCTGTCCTCTTCCCCGGGAGCGTCGAGCCGCGCCCTGAGCGCTGCAGAGGTGGCCGGGTTGGGGCGCGTGCTGCTCATTCTCCCTGCCCTACATTTTTTTGGGGGGCTTTGACTCGCATTTGGGGGTCTGACTTAGAAAGGTGGAGGAGGAGGCGCCCGGATGGGAGGCTGCGCCGGGAAGCGCTCCCGAGGGCGTGGCGCATGCTGCGCGGACGTGGTACCCGGACTTCGCGGGACCCACGTGTGGGCCGCGCTTTGTGCTGTGTCATTGCGCCGGCTGGGGCGTGGGTGGTGGGGTGGGGCCTCCTCCCCGGCTCGCGTGGGGGCGTGAAGCCGCGCGTGCTGGCCCCGCCCCCGGCAGGTGCCGGTGACGTGGCTGTCCCCGTGCGCCTGGCCGCCTTATCTCCTCTCCGCAGGTGTTGGCCCGGCTGGGGGTCGCCGGCCAGTGGCGCTTCGCGGATGTGCTAGGGCTGGAGGAGGAGACTCTGGGCTCAGTGCCAACACCTGCCTGCGCGCTGCTGCTGCTGTTTCCCCTCACCGCCCAGGTAGGGAGTGAGGCTCGGGGTGGGTGAGCAGGTCCCCTAGTGGGTCGTTGAGGGCTCGCTTCCCCCGATCTGGACGCCCAGACCTGGCTAGCCGTGCTCCCTCCTATAGGAGAAGGTCGCGCCTCCCAGGGAGGGAGGGGCCTGCACTGCGGTGGTTTCCTCCTTCATGGGGTTCGTTTTGTGTGAGTGCTTATTGCAGCTTTCCCCCGTTTGTGCAGGGTTGCCTTAAGTGCGAAAGAGGAGGAGCCCATTTATCCCATTGCTATTATCCAGAGAGAGAAATAATTCATCCTACTCACGAGTTCCTTTCAATTTAGGTTTGTCTGAACCTTCCACTTGGGGACTGCTGGTTGGCGTCCCTTAAGAGCTGTAACCTGTCAGCTCCTTGTTTGGTTTTCAGACTCCCACCCAGCTATAAATAAAATGGAAAGGGCGGGGCTTGCCACAATCTCCAGGGCACAAAAGACTTTCCAATTCACCTCCACTGCTGGGTTTCTGGTGGATTTAACGGGAATTCTTCCACTCCTCCATTCCCCAGACATGGATACTTCGGCTTTTAAAGCTGAATCATTGGCGTATGGTTCCTGAGTGGGATCCTCTTTCCAGCTCTCTTTATCCTGTGGTCTCTAACCATGTAGCTGGATGAAATTGATAGGTTATTAGCACACCTCTTTGTTTTCTTTTAAATTTTTTTTGGTACTGGGATTTGAACTCGGGGCCTCACACTAGCTAAGCAAGTGTTCTACCACTTGAGCCACTCCACCAGCTCTGTATTTTCTTTAAATGGTCTTCCTCCTATAATTGTGCAAGCATATATGTGTTTTAAAGACTGCACATCAGCTGGGCTGTTTGTTGTCTTGGAATGTATGGAGTCTGGTAATTAGCCTGGCATTGACTCTCCTATTGCTGTCACTTGACTACTGACTCGGGATTGGTTGAAATTGGCAAAACTTGGAGAATTAGCATTTGGGGCATTACTCCACACACAGCGACTAACTGAAGCACAGGCACCATCCTGAGGTTAGGCGTTCTAGAAGCACCTTCAGCCTAAAACAAGCTGCATGGGAAGTTCTAGGCCTTCCTCCTTACAAATAAGCTAAGTATTATAGGTTAAAACATTTATTAAAGCAGTTAGGGTAATCTCACTGATCTGTTTTATTGCCAAAGCCTTGGGTGAAATTGCAAATCGTTATGAGTCACATTAGCTTCCTTGACCAAATCAAATGCAGTCTCCTTGAGCATCTCCCCGACCTTTTCCGTAGAGGAACCATGATGACTTAGAGGTTTTGAGCAGCACTCAGGCAAGGCCTCTGGGAGGCAGTGGTGCAACGTGTTTGCCTTTAAAAGCTCACAGGTCTCCTTGTGCAGGCTCAAGTGGATTTTCTGCGAGAACATTCTGGTTCCAATGGCTTGTTTTTTCCTTTAGTACACTTTAGCCTGTCAAACTTACTGAGCCATATGTTCTGTTACACACAGTGCCTACTAGGCAAAACACTGGAACAAATTTGATGAAAAGTGAGACTTATGTGTTGACTTACATAGACAGCATGTAATTATGACTAAGCATATTATGAAATCCTAAATGAACCCCTTTTAAAACAATTTTAATTAAAACATTAATGTGATGGTGAGCTATTTATAGAAACGTCTCCATGCAAGGGCTCAAACAACCCTAAAGGATGGTGCTGTCCCGTTTTAAATTTTATTTAATTGGCCTAGAAAGGTGAAAACCCCTAGCAGTCAAGGAGTGACACTTCAAAGGTCTGATAGTGAGCTAGAACTTACAGCTAGGTGGAGTTTAAGTTGGTCTTACGGTATAAGAGATCTCATTCCTCTGCTAGTGCACAAAGCATCCTTAAACTTCCTTTGCATGTATAATAGTAATACAAGGTTACTAAAACCGTAAATGTGCCTTGGATGGTCTGCGTGGATTTTGCTGGTTATGGCAAATCGATGTTTGTATACCAGTAGCAACTTGCTTTTAGCTATGAAGTCCTAACTTTGCAGGTCTTTAAAATTTTGTTGGTGATAGGTATAGATAGCCTCACTGAATAAGAGGCTAGCAGATGCTTTAAGGAAGTCTCATTTATTTAACAGTCTCATCCTCCCTCAACTCTCAAATTGCTCTTCTCTCCTCAGGTTAAACTGCCTCCACCTATAGCTGTCACATCTTTCTCTTCTAAGATGAGAAGTTTTTGTAAAATCACAGCACAATACCCTAGACTGGTTGTATTCCTTTCCTAAAAAATGGGGAAGTAGTTCATCTCTCTTAGTTGCTACTTTCAACAACTAAGACTTAATCTTGTTTTTTGTTTTTTTTTTTTTGAAAAGGCATCTACTTGGACAAAATAGAAGTATTTTGCTCAGAAGCAACACCAATCAATCAAAGCTTGATTAGGATGCCTGTGAGAAATAAAGTTGTTGCTAGTGTTAAAGGAAGAAAATAATGACTCTTTTGTTTTCTGACTTCACAAGTCCTCCATCTCAAACTAAAAGGTTGCAGTGGTGTATAGACAGCCTTGGGCAATAGCCAATAAAGCAGCAACTGCACTGCAGCATCAGGGTGGAGCCTGAGGACCTCCTAGAGCCCCACTGGCTGGTATGGAAGGCAGACAGGCCATTGTCTGGGTGTTGGCCAGCACCTAGAACCAAGGCTCTTGATCTCACAACCCACTTGGGTTTCCATTCAGGTGGTAGAACTTATGGTTCTGCCATCTGTTCTTTGCATTTTCATTTTGAGATGTAGAATGTTTTTCTTTTCACAGCATGAGAACTTCAGGAAAAAGCAGATTGAAGAACTGAAAGGACAAGAAGTTAGTCCTAAAGTATACTTCATGAAACAGACCATAGGGAACTCCTGTGGTACCATCGGACTGATACACGCAGTGGCCAATAATCAAGACAAACTGCAGTTTGGTATGTGTGACTTCCCAGGCTGTGCACCCTCTACTTAAACTTGAAACATGGAGTGAATTGTTATACTCATTCCAGAAATCTTCAGGGTCTTTTCAGCAAAGTCATTGCTTTAATTTTTTTTTTTTCTGTACTGGGTTTCTGTACTGGGGTTTGAATTAGGGGTTTCACACTTGCTAGGCAGTACTCTACCCCTTGAGCCACGACCCGAGCCCTATTTCTTGTGTTACGCACTCTACTACTTGTGCTATACCTCCAGCATCCAAATCTCTTAAATTTAAGAGCTGAAAGTTGAAGCTGAGGTCTTTTGAAGTGAATTGCTCTGGCTGGTAGCTGTAGTTTCCACACTGAGTACTAGTACAATGTTTATACCAACAGTCAGTCAGCAGTTGACATTTGTGCTTAAGATATTTATTCTAATGTCTATCTTGATGTGTAAGTTACTAAGATTGAATTTTCTTCCCTGAAATAAAATTTTTGGTTTGGGAATGTTACTAGAACGTTATTTTAGCATCCTGTATATACAATAGATGTTAATTGTATATCACTAAATTCTCTATATACAGGACAGCAATAGACAAGGCAGCCCCTGCCTTTATGGCAGTAAAACCCCACAAATACATGTTGAAAGTGATTAATTGCTGCAAGAAAGTGACACATTTGAGAAATGAGCAGGAGGGGAAGGAGGTTTTAGGGTGGTAGAAATCAGAGGCAAGGAAAACCACACAACACTGGAAGAATGGAGAGCCCTGTGGCCTGAATGCAGTGTTTGGAAAAGGCTGGGGAAAGAGGGACTGCCCATCCACATCCTTGGAGGCCAGATTGAAGGTTCTAGTCATTCAACATGACTGGCTGGACAAAGGCTTAGGTGGACAGAAAACGTGCACCCAGAGGCATTTTATCTGGATAATGCGCACATTTTCTTTTTCAAGAGGATGGATCAGTCCTGAAACAGTTTCTTTCTGAAACGGAGAAGATGTCTCCTGAAGACAGAGCAAAATGCTTTGAAAAGAATGAGGTAAGAAGGATTTTCAGCGTATCACATTTAAAAAAAAAAAAAAAAGTATCACATTTAAATAACTGCAGAGCTTTGTGCTAATTCTCTTCTCCTCTCTGCAGGCCATACAGGCAGCCCATGATGCTGTGGCACAGGAAGGCCAGTGTCGGGTAAATGCAAGTACACATCCGAGCCAGGTGGCCTGGGTGCTGTGTCCCCACTGGAATATCTGCAGGAGTTTCTTACTGGAATGTAGCAAGTTGCAAATGTTACCCACCCAAGGCTACTTGGTGCCAGAAAATTCTACCCAAGTAATGTTTTGGCTAGATCTCTCCCCCAAAATGGCTCTTCAGAAGTCTATTGGCAGTTGAAGTAGTCTTGTGTAATTCAAACCTATAGTATTATGAGTCTTACAGAGTAAGTAACACTTCTCCTAGTAATTGAGCATTTCATATAGCCCCTCACGGGTTATTAGGAAGAATAAAACATGCCAACAAGACTGACCAGTTCTAGAAAGTTTAAATAGACTGCAATGGAGAGTCTGGGGGTAAAGCCTACTAAATTTAAGCTGAAAGGCAATACCTTGATAAGTACAGTTGACTCTGTCACTTTCGAAAAAGGCTTGACCTTTGTGAGATATTTATGCTTCTCAGCTTGAATTTCCTCTTCCATAAACAGTGTGCACAGTAGCACCCAAAAAACTGTTCTAACAATTCCAGCATTTCTGCCTTAGTAGGTTTACCCTGGGGCTTTGTATGGAGGAAATACATGAGTATAAGCTGTAATAATTTTTAAAAATACAAACAAGCTGTTTCAATCATATTCCACTTGAATTGTAAGAGAATTCATTTTTAACAAGTTCATCTTATATAACACCCATTTTCAAAATTTTTTCTTGACTCTTCAGGTAGATGACAAAGTGAATTTCCATTTTATTCTATTTAACAACGTGGATGGCCACCTCTATGAACTTGGTATGTATCACTGCAGTTTTGGAACCCAGTACAGCTTCATGTGTTCTTTCAGATTTAAATTCTCTTACAGTATTTGCATATGACCTATGGCCCCTGGTATATCATTGCATATGAAGCCAGGATATTCCATGGGGCACTTAACCTTTTTTCATGGCCAGAGCACCCTTCTCAGGCAACTGACATACCAAATGAATGGGTTTAGTCATACCAGGGAGGAGGATAGATCACATGGGCACCAGCTCAAGGCATTTGTGTTCAGACTTCTCTTCCCCCAATACCATCCTTAAAAGAATCTGTGCCTGAATATGACCTCATTTATGTGAAATGATTTCAGATATGTTTGAGTAATTTCTACTTACGGCAACAAAAAGTAACATCTTGTAAAATCCATCCTCTTTGTATTTATGGAGAAAGACTTTGCCCGATGTATTGACTCCAATCAAGATGTTTCTTATGTACTCCCAGGAGCAAAGGACATTTGGGGGCAATTAGCAGTCATTGCAGGACAAGTAAAAATCTCAAAGATTCTTCTTCCCTCTCTTCTCTGTACCCAAGAGATTTTGCGCTGTGATCCTTCCCAAGAAGCAGCTCAATCCCCTCTATTGGGTTAGCTGGATTGGGTTTGTGTGTTTCATTAGTTGTAGGGTAGACACCTGGGCTGAATGTCTAGGAACGCTTGAGCCTCACTGCTGCCTGTTTCTTGATAACTGAGCTTTCCTTTGTAGGTCAGGGTGAGCATTATTTGCAAGAATCTAGAACTTCCCTTTGGGCTGGGTAGCTACTGTGTTCAGTAAATACATAGGGAAAGTTGATATGCCTGACTTCTTTGTTCCAGATGGGCGAATGCCTTTTCCAGTGAACCATGGCACTAGCTCAGAGGACTCCCTGCTGCAGGTAATTTTGGAATGCATCTCTCTTCATGCCAGCCACACTTCTTCAGCCACATTGTCTAATACACTGATAATCAGGGCTGTAGGCAGCAGTTTGAGTTAATAGCAGACTTTAGGGCTTAAAGATCATGTTAGTAATTCCACTTGTCTCATTTTACAGCAAGTGATTTTAAATAGGAGCTTTCAAAGAAGCCCTGGCTAATCTGTTTCCTGTGCTGTCTTCAGGTCACAGTTAGAATTAGCTAGAAAGCTGTTGCTTTGCTTCCTTGTGGGATTAGGTGATCATTCTCCTCCGTCAGGTTACATCATTGCTAAAGACTCAAGTAACAGCACCCCGGAGCCTTCCCTAGTACTCTAAGACTGCTGGATTTGGGTCAGTCTTGTAGTGTAATCTATAGATTCTGGTTAGGTAAATTCACATTTTTCTTAGTACTTGACCACTTGTTACACAGAGAAGCAGACTGAAAACTGCCTGACAAGAACTCTAAGATCCAGGATCACTGTAACCATCTTGGTAGAAGTTACTACAGAAGGGCTGTAGGCTTTTTCAATCTAAAAATGAGTCTCTAGAATGGAATTCATCTGTTACAAAGGAAAATTGCTTAATTATGATAAAATACAAAATACTTCATTTGTCATAGTAATTGTACTTAATCCTTGAGCACTGGGTATGTGCACAGTGGGCATTGGTAATTTTTTTCTGTAAAGAGCCAGCTGAGAATATTTTAAGCTTTGTGTGGCATATAGCTCTGTTACAAGTATTTCACTCTGTTATTGCAGCTCCTGAATGGGGTGTAGCAAAGCTTTGCTTGCAAAAGAGGCAATAGGCTGGATTTGGCCAATTGACTCTTGGGCTAGATGTTATCCTAAGTGATTTCTACCCTTTGTTGAATACTTTTAATGATGCAGTGAAGTAAGACATACTGTCACCCTCTCATTGATGAGAAAACTGGTAGAGTGGTTAAGTAATGCCACAGACCAACAAATTAGATGGCACATCCATGGTTTGGTATCTGCAGTATGTCCTGTTAGCTACTGCACAACATGACCTTTCACTGTGGGTGTGGTGCAAGTGCTGCAGCACCTGCCTAGCAAGCACAAGGCCCTGAATTCAAACCCCAGTTATGCCCACCCTCCCACCCCCGCCAAAAAAGAGTTGGGCATGGTGGTCTGTGCATGTAGTCCCAGCAATGCCGAAGGGCATGGGTAGGTGGATTGTGGCCCAAGGCCACCCCTGGGCAAAAAACACCAGCTCCTATCCAAATGAAAGTCTAAAAGGTCTGGGGGTGGCTCATGTGGTAGAGCACCTGCCTACCAAGCTCAAGAACCTGAGTTCAAACCCTGACCCATCAAAAAAAAAAAAAGGCAGTATTGTTAAATGAGTACTGCTGAGAATGTAGCTCAGTGGTAAAGAGCATTAGTCTAGCTTGTGCAGCCCCTGGGTTCAATCTCCAGCACTGCAGACATACATGTAAAATATAAACGAGTGTCTTACTGGTAAAAATTCTTATCCTAACTGAGCCTGGTTCTATGTGGCTAAAGGTTGAAATCAACTGTGCCTCCTGTAGAAAAGTCAGTTTGGGATAAAATAAAGACCTGGAAGTTATAATAGTAACAATTCTGATAAAGAATATAAATGTTAATCTAGATGTCCCCCGCCTCCTTTTTTTTTTGGTGGTACTGGAGTTTGAACTCAGGGCCTCATACTTGCTAGGCAGGTCCTCTAATTGTTGAGCTACTCCCAAGTTTTGTGTTGGGTTTTTTCAAGATAGTCTTGTGAACTGTTTGTCCAGGCTAACTTTGAACCATGATCCTCCTGCTCTCTGCCTCCTGAGTAGCCAGGATTATAGGTGTGAGCCACTGGCAACCCAGCTTATAAATTTTTTTTCCTTTGGTGGGATCGACATTTGAACTCAGGGCTTTGTACTTGTAAAGCATGTACTCTATTGCTTGAGCCATACCTCCAGCCCCACCCCCCTTTTTTTTTTATTATTCATATGTGCATACAATGCTTGGGTCATTTCTCCCCCCTGCCCCCACCCCCTCCCTTACCACCCACTCCACCCCCCCTTCTCCCCCCCTCCCCCCCACTTGATACCCGGCAGAAACTATTTTGCCCTTATCTCTAATTTTGTTGAAGAGAGAGTATGAGCAATAATTGGAAGGAACAAGGGTTTTTGCTAGTTGAGATAAGGATAGCTATACTGGGAGTTGACTCACATTAATTTCCTATGCGTGTGTGTTACCTTCACGGTTAATTCTTTTTGATCTCACCTTTTCTCTAGTTCCTGGTCCCCTTTTCCTATTGGCCTCAGTTGTTTTTAAGGTATCTGCTTTAGTTTCTCTGCGTTGAGGGCAACAAATGCTAGCTAATTTTTTAGGTGTCTTACCTATCTTCATATCTCCCTTGTGTGCACTCGCTTTTATCTTGTGATCAAAGTTCAGTCCCATTGTTGTGTTTGCCCTTGATCTAATGTCCGCATATGAGGGAGAAGATACGATTTTTGGTTTTGGGCCAGGCTAACCTCACTCAGAATGATGTTCTCCAATTCCATCCATTTACCAGCGAATGATAACATTTCATTCTTCTTCATGGCTCCCTTTTTGTCTTTGATTGTAGTCCCAGTAACAAAACTCCATTGTGGTTGATACTTTTTAAGAACCCAATTCATTATTGAATCTTTATAAATTTTAGGAACTGAAATTCTGTTATTCTGCATCACAGGTCTTACAGCTTGTGGATTTAGCTTTCTATTGGGCTTTATACAAATACGATTGATATGATATGATGATCCCAAAGCATGTAAGCCCTGGAATTTAGGAAATAACTAATACTGGGATCAAATTTCTGATACCAGTCTTTGTAATCTAAGTCTTAGAAGTAGGAACACATGTCACTCCAGCCACAGGGACACATTCTTAAGACTCTGTCCCTTGGCTGGAGAACAATTAATGTGGCAGAGCACCTGCCTAGCAAGCATGAGGCTGAGTTCAAGCCCCAGAACCACCAAAAAAAAAATCAGTTGGCTGTACCTGGAATACCAGGTAAATGATAAAGCTGTGTTATAAAATGTTTACTTAGAAGAAATATGTCTACTCCAGGAGTTTCTGAGTTAGACGTTTTCTGTTATGCTCTTTATGGAAAAGAGAAGTTTTTAGTCTTTCATAGATTTAAAGAAAAGAGCATTAGCGGTTTAGTTTTCTTGGCAAAACCAGGCACAAGGCAAGAGAAGCAAAGAGCTCCTTGGTGGAGTAAAGGAGTCAAAGCTTCTGAAATGAATCCTGTGGGGTGGCTCCCTGATAGCTCTTGGGGTTTTCCTCTTGCCGTAAGCCCTGACTTTGAAGGTTAGTGAGGGATTTGAAGTTAGTCCAGCTAACCTGAGCATGACTAAACTTTGGAAATGCTTTCCCTTTCCAGCTTCTATTTCTGGGTATTTCCATTTGGGTATTAATGACATCCCTCCTTTTCAGGATGCTGCCAAAGTGTGCAGAGAATTTACCGAGCGCGAGCAAGGAGAGGTCCGCTTCTCAGCTGTGGCCCTGTGCAAGGCAGCCTAAGCGCGGCGGAGGGTTGTTCTCCCTTCCCGTCTGCGCGAACACATCCCTGCCCAAGCAGTCTCCAGTGCTCAGTACTTGTAAACACGGCTGTTTCCTTCCATCTTTCCCTCCCACTACACCCCTCACTAGTGGAGCTCCACTGGTGAGAGGCCAGGTTGGTGTGGGGGTCAGCTGTGAGCATTTCCCCACTGTGTCTGTACCCTGACATCTAATGCTTTCAATGGCTACTTTGGTTTGTGTCTGTAAATTAAGGCCTTGGATGTGGTTTGTTTGTCCTTAAGAGGAATAAAACTTTTCTGCTGATAAAAGATAAGCCTAAAACTGGTTCTCATTTTCTGTTATCTTTTCAGTATATCTCAAATCCTTTTGACAGTAATATGTCTTCCATATAAGCATCTCATACAACATGGGTAAGAAAATTACCTTAAGAATAGTGTTTGGTGTATCTCTAGATTTTCTGTATGTATATTCCTATGCATACCTATAAAAACCAATTTTCTAAAGGTCTAAATAGACTATTTGTAGAACAATTATAGATTCATAGAAAAAATCAAAGACGGCATAGAGTTCCCATAAACTCCCTACCCAGTTTCCTATGTTAACTGTTTGGATGATAGATTTGTTACAGTTAATAATGCAGAAGGACACACTGCTGTCCACTTTGAATTCATGTGAAGGCAGACCCTCCCAGGACTTGTTTTTCTAATAAGCCCTCTTATTTGACATCTTGGATTTGTCACAGATCTGTGTACAATTGGCTTGTTCCCTTAATTTATTACTCCCTGAAATGGTACCGGTCTTGCTAAGTATCATATAAAACTAATACCAAAATGTCTAGTTGAGTCTTGAGGTTATACTCCTATTTAGTGTAATTTGGAATGACTGAAATACCCACAAACATGGTAAAAGGTACACAAAGAAAGTAAGATTGTTGAAATTGTGTATAAATACGTCTGGAAGAGACAGGACTGTAAGAAAGTGTTAACTACATTTTAAGTCTGTTACACATTCCACTTAGTGTGCCATGTGCCGTTATTCCCGTTTTGCAAATAGAAGAGTAAAGCACAGCGAAGCTTAAACAACTTGTCCAAGGTTGCTTGGTTAATATGTGATGTGGCTGAGATTCAAACCCAAGCAGACTGGCTCTAAGAGCTCATGATAGTCGATTATTCCTGAGCAGAAATGGACCTAACAGTGAATGAAGCTTCAGTTTTACAGTCCCACACATTGATGGCCTCTCCCACATTCTGACTTGTGTGTCCTGTAAGATTTGCATTAAGATATTTCTGTATCTTGATTTCCCAAAAACATGAGTTTGCCCCTGCCTCTAGGTGTTGAGGTTTTGGGTGATTTCACTTTATATTCTTATTTTTCTAAGCTTTCTGAAATCACTGAATTTTTTAATGAAAAAAGTGTTATGTTTTCCCCCAGGATAATTCTTCCATGAGTTTGTGCTATTTACTCTAGCTTGCTTTCAAGTTTCTTCAATTTAGCACAAGTCAATGCAATTTAATAATGTAGTTTTCTGTGTTACAATAAGCTTTTTATAGGCTCTATTATAGGGCTACTTTGGATCTTAATCATTTTTAATGTTCCCTTAAAGCTCAACTTATTTGAAAGTGTTGGGTTTCCTGCATACCTTGCCATGTTAAATGATGACAGGCTAATTTGGCTGAGTTCCTTTCTTTGTCCTCCTTGAATGGAGTGACCTTTTTAATTCATTTGTTTACCTGTTTAATTTCTTTTTTTTTTTTTTGGTACTGGGGTTTGAACTCAGGGCCTCACACATGCTAGGCAGATGATACTCTACCATGAGCCACTCCACCAGCTCTTTTTTGGGTTGTGTATTTTTGAGATAAGAGTTTGCAAACTATTTTCTGGGGCTGGCCTCAAACCTCCATACTCTGATCTCTACTTCCTGAGTAGCTAGGATATAAGTGTAAGCCACTGCACCTGGCTCCTGTTTGATTTCCCAACTGGGGTTGACACTACTGAATAAGGTGTGGTTTGGACGCTGTAAATTGTCTTTGTAGTCAGAGGCCTGGTGTCAAACCTGGCTTCAACACTTACCCTACAGTCCACCCTACAGTCCTGAAGAGTGGGAGTGACAGGACCTCACCCACAGGATTAGGAGGACTGAGAAAGAAGTTCACTCAACGCTTAGTACCTAGAGCATACACCTTGAGTCATTACTGTCTCACGGTAAAATGAGGACTATGAAAGAGTCTTAATGGGTGCCTCACACCTGTCAGCTATTCTGGAGGCAGAGATTGGGATGATATGATTCAAGGCCAGTCCAGGCAAAAAAGACCCCCAATCAATCACAGCATCATATCAGCTACCTGGGGTTTTATAAAAGGATCATGGTACAGGCTAAATACAAGACACTAACCCAAAATAACTAAAGCAAAAAGGGTTATGGGTATGGCTCAAGTGATAGAGTGCCTGCCTAGAAAGTGAGAGGCCCTGAGTTCAAACGACAGTACCATCAATGAATGAATGAATAAATGAAAATATTTTTACCCTCTTGAGGGTAAGGGTACTGATTTTTTTCTCTTTTTTAAGTTGAAAAGAGATTTGTTTTGGCTTATAATTCTGGTTCAAGTTCAAGGAGTCAAATCTAGTGATAGTCTTTTTGCTGGTAGAATCCCAAGGTGGCAAAGTGCCTAGTAAGAGACAAGGAGTGTTCTTGATTGGTAAGGAATCGTGTAATTTTAAATTTGCAAGATAACCTTCTAAGGACAGAGAGGTGTTTTGAAAATAGGGATTCATAGATTTATTTTAGTTGATTGAAATTAAGGTATTTATAGGAGTTGAAATAAGCACCCTTTAAATGTCCTATATGGATGCTTAAATCCAAATTCAGTAGCTTATACCTGAATTCCTTATTCACATCCATGCACACTGGGAACCCTTGATTTAGCCAGAGCTATATTTACTGTATCCAGTAGGTGGCAGCATAGGAAAACTTACAGCAATTACCTAGCTAGGCAAAATCAACCAGAAAGAAACTGAAGAAGCCCTTGGTAGCTGTGCCCCTTCTGAGGCAAGATGAAGGGTGACACTTGGGCCTTCATTTTTTACCAATATTTAGCCCTGTGATTTGGGAATTGCTTGTTCCATTCATAATTTTGGTCAGGTTCTGTTTATCAGACATTTGGAAGCCCACATTCCTCACTGTGTGAGGCTGTCTTCTGACACCCTGACCCTGAGCACTAAATGCTAGTAGCACCTACCCCCATGACTACAGCTGCAAAATACCTGCTTGCAAATTTCCAAAACATCCCTAGTTGTTGGCACTACCACCCCTAAGGACCACTTGGCTTGATTGGAGACTCTTTCCCTAAAAATGCGTTAGGTGGGTCATTCCTCAATGACCACCAGGATTCCCAGCTCCTGGCACACGGATCCTTCTTCCCAGGCATTCGATTCAACATTAATGATGATACTGCTTTGAAGAGATTTTGCAGGTGTGGTTAAGGCACCAAATACATTGACATTAATTCACACACATTATCCTCAGTTGGCCTGACCTAGTCTGGGCCCTTCCTGGAGAAGGAATGAGGGTAGCCTCTAGGAATGGAGAGCGGCCCACAGCTGTGCTCAGCAAGGGACTGAGAGCCTGAGTTCTTCAACCACCAGGAACTGAATTTGGCCAAGAACCGATTGGAGCCTGGAAGCTGATTCTTCCCCAGATCGTCAGAAAGGAACACAGCCTTTAAGACCCTGAGCAGAGAAGCTAGCCATGCCATCCTGCACTTCTGACCTAAGAACAATTATGCTAATAGATGTTGACTTCAGCCTCTGTGTTTGGGGTCATTTATGATGTGTAATATGAAACTCACATGCAGAGCACTGAAGCAATGCAGCAGCTCACTGAGGCACTGGCATCCCCATTGTCCTCTCTACATCACCCCATTTGTTGTCCCCTTCCATTGATCTTGTGGCTGGACCAGAAAGAATTCAGACTGATTTTTCTCTGTTCTTTGCCCTCTTTCCCTGAGTAAGAGAGTGCAAAGAATATGCTAGAACTTCAGGAACTGGCCACACTCTCCAATACTAGGTCCTCCCTGCAGATGTCTGGGGTGGTTCAGGTTCTCTGGTCCAGAGCTGGTGTGGGCCTCAGGAACACACTCGAGCTTCTTAGATGCTTTTCATCATGAGACACCAGGCTGGTGAGGCAGAAACAGGAACGGTGTGGAACCTTGGTTATTTACTGAACTCTGACCTGCAGAAATTTACATAAATCCACTCTGTATGAAGGTAAGGAAAAAAGATGTCCTTCATACCTATGGAACTGAAATACTTCACATTTTGTAAGGAATTCCTGGTCTTCAGGTTGACCTGCTGCCTACTTCTCCCTGAGATTATTTTTTTCTGTATCCTCTCCAACTGTCGGGGCTCAAATGCCACCAACAACCACTTCAGTCTGTAAGGTTTTCTTTTTTATCACTTTTCAAAACATGACTATCACATTCTCAAATGTGACTTTAATGACAAGTATTATTTAACATTTAAAGCCCACAAAATTGTCTTTGAAATGAAGAATAACAGCTGGTTCAGAGAGCAGACCTGTTGTAACCCTGTATTGGCTTCTGAGGGGTGCTACAGGCACATGCCCCTCCTTGTAAAGACACGTGGTGTCACCATGGACGTCACAGGTTCACTGTGATTTGTACACACTGGCTTACATCATGAATTGTCATGAATTTACCATCGGACTTTCTTCCATTGGTTTTGAGGCATCACAAAAGAACCTTCAAATATACATATGGCATTCCTTTCTTCCTTTTGTGTCTTGTGCTCTACTCTCTATCAAACTTTAAAATCATGACATGCATTCTGTGTTATTTTTTTTCCTAATCTTTCCCTGTAATTATCTTACCCATTTCCTTAATAGTTTTATGCGGGTGTACTTTCCATACCATAAGATGTATCATTGTCAGTATACCATTTGTTAGTTCCCTAGTGTGAGGTAACAGAGTGGGGATAATCATACAGGACCTTGTAGACTGGTGTGCAAATCAATTTTATTCTGAGAGGTGAGGATGGGAAGCCATTGCAGGGTTTCAAGCTGAGTAGTCACATAACCAGATCTTTTGTTTTAAACATAGATCTGGATAATGGGTGGAAAGCAGAGTGTAAGGAAATGAGAGAGGGAGGCTAACAACATCCAGGTGTGAAAGACCAAAATGGGTCTTCCTGGTACTTCCCAGCCCACTTTCCCTCTACACCTGCTGCTTTTTCCTGCCCTTCTCCCAACATATACACACTCGTGCATGCACTATACTTT